GTCTCTCTCCTTAAAGTGAAGATCAGTACTGTTCTCACGATGGGATTTTCTTTTGCGATGTTTTTTTCTTCTCTGATACATTTTTTATAAGTTCATTTTTTTGCAAAATATCTGCTTAATTTAACATATTTTGGCAGTTCGTCCTGTCTTCTTTTATATTTTTCTAGTTACAAAGTTATATAATTTTTCACTTATAAATTATTTTTTTTTTATTTCTTATTTCTACGAAACTTTTATTTTTATTTTATTAACCATCTTTACACAATTTGTTTGACATTTTTTTTATTTTCAGACAGATCATGCAACTAGACCTATCTACATATGTTGATGTGTCTAATTGAACACATGAATCGTGATTGGACAATAAAGACTTTTTTGAAGAAAAAATCATTGATTGCTAAAAAAAAAGATACTTGTGTTTAATTCAGTTTTCAGAAAGTCGCTGTGCAACTGCCCTTTAAGGACACCGGGCATTCTGTTGCCTCTATTCTAGATTCTTTAATGCCAGTAAGTTCCCTTAGTTGTTTTAAAGCCAAATAATCTTGCGGTGGCGGAGGGTTGTTTGCCATAAAATGCAGATTTCAGTGTCATAAACCCATAGCATTTTATCCGATTGCTAACAATTAGGATTCAGTAAAAGAGGTTACTACATGTCTGTTACTGCTGGATGCATGCAGTGGATACAGGGCTCGATGGAGGATTTTCATCAAAATTAATATTTGCTCATAGATCTGACTGCCGAGTGCTCCCATTCAATTTGAAACAGGTATTTTGATATTTAGAACTAAGCAACCTACGACTTTTTTCAAATTTTCAGAAGTACGGGTTGATTGTCTTTTATAATACTCAATCGATCTTGCTGCTAATGTGCCTCTTTGTAGTTGAAACATTTTTTTTTTAATTTTTAGACCTATCCAAATTATCTTGAGTACGAGTTTGTTGTTTTTGCTTTAATATTTTCCTTCATAGAGAGAAAAGTAGGCGGTTAGAAAGTGGCTCGTGTCTTATTTTTTTTAATTATCTGAATTTTCCAAAATTGCAAAACTAGTAAATTTCTTCAACGTAATTCTACAAATAAAATATTGTAGGTTTTTTCTATTTCCGCAATTTTAAATGCAAGATGCTATCACAAATGGATTCAATTTTTTCTTTAAATGCAAGGTGTTATCCCAAATGGCACCATTTTTGGATAGTGTATAGTATACTGTTAAATATTCCGCGGATCGTATTTTTGTTTAAATCTCGCTATATTTCGCAACTTGCAAACGTTACAAACATTGAGAGAAAGTATGTGCTGATTTAGCTCTACTGGTTTATATTTTCAAAGAGTAGTCGTATGACCATTTTTTATCTTAATGTGTTTTGTTAATTATTGAGAGTAAGCAGTATAACACTCGAATGTTTTTACAGATGTATTTGTTGATCAGTATTTTAGAAAGTTGCAAGCTTAACATGCGCTCTGATGCAATGTGCGATTAGAAAAATGTAATTAAGAATTTCCTATTGTGTGTGTGCATTAATCCACCGCTGTAATGATTTCTTACAATAATTCGTTGATAATAAAAAGGCAAGTATCCGCTATTTTGTATAATGGCTGATAACTATGTCGTGTACATTCATAAAAACATCACTATGTTTTCAAGTCACACTCTGTTTCATTCGGTTATCAGGACCAAGGGTGTGGAATCAACGTTTCGGGTACCCGTCATTTTAACGGGCTAATGAACGATATCTGCAAAAATGTCCTTACAATTCTATAAATAAAATTCCCCTAATAATGCTATGGTTCTTGTTGAGCATGATCATGTGAAACAATGTTGTAATGGGTGTTGTTTTTAGTGGCTCCGTGTGTTTGTGTACCCAGCATGTGAGCGCTCTCTTGGGATCGAGCGAGTCCGGGGGCTTCACGCTGCTGGGCTACTCGTACGGAGGCCTTCTGGCGCTGGAGGCCGCGGCGCGGCTCGAGGCCGAGGGCTGGGCGAGCACGGGCCACGTGGTGCTCCTGGACTCGGCGCCTGACGTAATGCATGCCATGGCCAAGATGATGCTGATGGTGGACCCAGCTTCCGAGCGAAATGGTTCGCTTGCTAGAGAATCCAGCCATAAGGTGAATTTCAAGTGCTAATTTGTTGTTGGGTTCCTTGAAATAATTCCAATTGGTATTGTCATGCTCATCATTTTGTTTGTGTAATTACAGCTTTCGCTTACTTAGATATGATCAGATCTGCATTTTGACTGTCATGAATATACAATTTCGTGCTGTGCGCTGTCTTTAGGGAATAGTCGAACTCTTGAATAGGATTTACGAGATCTGATGAATTATTCGAAAGCCTTTGTTCGGGAAATAGTTGAGAAAAGAACTTCATTTACCAAAGTAACGCAATTTGAACTTAGTTGCAATGTATTTCTTCCCCAATCTTAAAATTTGTTTTCTAATTGTGACGGTAAATAACTATGTACATTGATTAAAATTTTACTAAACCAATTAGTCGCGCAAATGAGGAATTGATATTACTCATTTGAACGTAAAAATAATAATTTATTTGATAATTTCATATTTTAATGAGCATTTCAGATAACCGTTGAATATTTTCAGTTTCAAAACTTAATAATTTATTAAATATTTTCAAGTGTTGTATGAACTTCATAATAATGTTAAAATACTATTCTTAAAATTAACCTTAAACGTATTGTAATTAAAATTGTGTTCATGATGAATATATTAGTTGAATTATCTTTTGATTCCATTTTAATTATCTTTAACATATGTAAAAAAGTTGGTAATATAACGATGAAACTAACATGAAGATAGTGAAAATCGTTCTAAAATGACTCGTGAATAATTTTAATACATTTTTGATTGGCAGAACGTTGCGAGATATCAAGATGATTTCAAAGAAGAACGGCGACTCCAGGACGAGATACTGGTTCACGTCACACAAACGATGCTCCCAGACATGGCGGCAGCGCAGCTTCAGGCAAGTGTACCTTAGCGCTTTTTATTCACTATCACTTTCTTTATATAAAAAAAGAATCCCCCAATAGGAACTGAGATCAATTATACTATCAAAATAATTGAACATTTTCGGACAGTACTTCCTTCTTCTACGATTTGAAAATCATATATTATACAACTAGATTATGCTAGGCTTTACTGCTTGAGTTGTTGAAAATTGTACGAATGCAATAGAGCAACATAATAAACAAGTTGCATATGTTATTTATTTTATAAAAGCATTTACCATTTAGAAGATTAATCAAAATTATTTTTTGGAAACACCGTTATTGAGACTCTAATCACATTTTCACTTCCCAGACCACTTTCCGAATTTAACATTTGCAACTTCAAACATTTCAGTTATGCTAAAATCATTAGTTTTCAGTAATTTGTGTCGTTACAAGAGGATAGATGACTCTTTCAAGTTTTAAGCAGAAACATTTTGAGATACGTGGTTTCATCATGTATTTTGAGATAATTTGCCTCTAATGCATTAAATTAATTTGTCAGCGCTGTATTTGGCGAGAAAATATCCACACGTCCTTGATATGTTTACTTCTTATACAAAGCCGCTGTAAATTGTATTCTATGCTGATTTGTTTTATTCGTTGTTCATTTAATTTTTAGGGACGGGAAATTCTCTAAATATCATTGAAGTTCCTTGTCTAAGTCAGAGGTTCTCAACCTGGGGTGCACAAGGGGACTGGTGGAGTTATGTGGAATAATATCGGTCATGGTTGAAATCAATACTTCAATTGCTTTACAATACAACTCACTGCTCTCGACTCTCCTACCTACCTCTATAAGTGTTCGAAATATCCAGATCAACCCATGATTCGTATCCCAATCAACATTACAAAGAATGTCAAATATTTCATGGAGGTAAGTGTATGTTGAGCCAAGGGGGTACTTGTCAATGAAAGTCTGCTCAAATGGTATGGCAGAGAAAAAAAAATGTTGGGAACTGGTGATCTAAGTGTTGTCTTTGTGCAGGATCTCCGGGAGCAGCTGCGCGCGCAGAACAACTGGGAGGCGCGGCTGCGTCTGTTCGTGGAGATCACGCCGGCCAAAGGCCTCAGCACGGAGTACAAGATGGCGGCGCTGGACGCGTTCTACACGCGCATTCTGTCGGCGCTGCGCTACACTTGGCCGTCCGACCGACCGCGCCTGCACGCCTCCGTCACGCTCATCCGGCCCGCCGTCTCCGCGCTGCCGCCCGGCTTCCTCCCCGAAGACTACG